GAAATCGCCGATTTTTCTCCCCGTCGTCGATTTATCTCGCGGGAAGCGATTTCTTCGTAAATTCATTTTGCCCTTGTCCCCCCCCCTCCCCCGATAGATCGCTCGTCGTTTGCCTCACGATTATCAATTATGCATGAACTAAATTATAATGCGGAAAAGAGCGTTTCGACGAATTGATCACCTGTTGCTCGGCCATCAAACACGGGGGGGGGGGGAGATCATCAAATACGCGAAACAGTTAAAATTACGATTTATTTCTATTATATTCGTTTTCGCCGCGGTCTGTCTGAAGCAAATATTTGCCGTCGCCGATGGGCGGCGCAAATGCAATTGTGGCTCGCACGAATTTTCGCGCGGAAATTTACGCGCGAGACAAGGCCGTTCATGACACAAAACCGGAGCGCTTCGCGGGGTCGTTCGGACGGGGGTTAAAGTCAACTAAAATCCCCGAAGAAGCACTCAAACGCGTCATTCGTTCCCGATGAAACGACGTCGCTGAATCCTTTAACTTTCGACCCTCTTGGAAAACAATTTCTTTATCATCAAGAGGGAGAGAGAAACACAAGCGTAACGTCGTAAAAATGAGGGTGCTAAGAGATCAGTCAGAGATTCTTTTTTTTTTTCTCCACCGACCATTTCGTCGGGGTCAAGCCCTTCACGGACGAGTCGTTGAGAAGAAAGAGAGCGCGTCGTTCGTTTCTCGCTCACTTTTCGCCGGATGTACCCTGAAAAATCTTACGATCGCGACACAGGAGAGACGTAAACTCCGAAAGTAACGATAAAAGGATCTCCTCTTCTCGTACAAACGCGCATCGAATCTAAAAAGAACGAGAATAAAACGACGACGACTACGAGCCATTTGAGCCTGACCGTTTCGCGTTGATTTCTCTTTCTCTTTTTTTCTCTCTCTCTCTCTCTCAATTGTGTTTCACTCAGGCGGCGCACGCAAAGTGAACCCGTTAAATCCGCACGAGAGAGAGAAGGGATACATGTAAGGAATGAAAGGGCGTAAAACGAACAAATTGTCGTCTCGTCAACGTTTTGTTGGATGGAAACATCCGGAAAAGAAACAACCGCAATATAGGCGGATTATTTATTTATTTACTCTTTACCCTTTACGTTTGTCAGTGTTTTTGTTACTTCGATTTATTGTTACATTGAATCACACACTTGGCGAAGAATAAAAATTCGGAGCGACGGAAATAAGCGGTGGAAAACCATCGTCTTATACAGTCAGATTCGCTACGTGTCTTATCATATTTGTATATAGAGACACTGTCAAATTAAAAATGTGAGTTTTCGTTGTGCGGCTAACTGGGTTAGCGGATATATTATCTGAGAGATCTTTATTTTTTTGTCTTTTGTTGGCGAGAGAACGAATCTCTCTGAAAAGATTCTCTCTTCCAGCGCGAGAAACGCGCCGAGGTCTTACGATCGCATTGCGGTAGACATAAATCCAAATGTAACGGCAGAGAAGAAAAACCTCAACGTGCGAATGTACGTTGGCGAAGAGATGAGAAGAGAGAGAGAGAGAGAGAGAGAGGGAGAGAGAGAGATGGAGAAGGCAGCGCGAAGTGTGTCGCAAAAGGGAATAGTAACAAGGAAAAGTAAGAAGGACAGAAGCGTGTCCCGGACGCGATAACTCGTCCACGCGCGCCCGGTCCATCATACTCGCGCTTTTACGCCGCGCGCATTTGCGTGCATAGCCAAGTGGCGCGCGGCTGAGAAATCACGAATAAAGAAGAGAAACTAGAGTTGAAAGAACGTCGTACGAAGGAAAACGCGGAAGAGAAGGAAGACAAATTCCCACAAAATCACGTCTTCTATGAAGAATCGCGGTGGTTGGTGATAGTCGTCGTCGTCGTCGTTGTCGTGGCCGTTTTCCGGTCGTATAATGGTCGTCGCACGACCTCGAACACGAAGGAAAACGCGATGGCCGGATCGCCGAGCGGACAATAGCTTTGCTCGACGACGACTTTGTTGTCGTCACAACGCGCGTCGCGGTCGACGTCGGGGGGGACGCGCTTGTATTGTTTGTCGTCGCCGGTGGAAAAGCACGGGAAGAGGATATAGCGCGAGAGAAGAGGTGATAGCGCGTAGAAGAGGTGGAAGTGGCTGCGGGGAGCCACCGCGGAAAGTCTGCAGGCGATTTCTATTGTCGACCGCGAAGCGCTCTTCCTCGGCCGCCGATATAATTGGCGCAGCCGCGCGCGCGCGCGCTTGCCGGATAACTCGGACGATAACGAGGACAAAGAAGCGACGCTGCGGAAGAAGACAATGGGCGAGAAGGAACTGCCCTGAGAAAGTCCGAGAGGTTGTCGAGTCGTCACTCTTCTCTCTCGCGGCCTCTTCCGCCATAATAGCACGCGAATTTCTGTTCCGAGTTTGACTCTGCTAAAGAAATGAGAGAAGAGAGAGAGAGAGAGAGAGAGAGAGAAAGAAAGAGAAAGAAAGAGAAAAACAACTACTCGTAGAATAACAACGAATTTCTTGCTGCAACTGTGTGTGCGACTGTGGTGGTAACAAATAGCCACAGTAAATTGCGGGACCTATTTGCGACGCGGTTTTATCTCTCTGCGTGTTTGTACAGCCGGCGATTTCTCTCTATCGATTTTGTCATCTCGAATGTTTTCAAGATTTGCAATGCACGTTTAAATCGCCGTGTGCCAAGCAGGATCCGACAAAGAGTGATCTTGGAGATAAAAAGAGAGAGAGAGAGAGAGAGAGAGAGAGAGAGAGAGATCTTTCTTTTTATTCCAATTTTCTTCCCACAACATCTTTTCAGCGCTCGGAGCAAGTTACGCGCCTTGCACGTCTGTATTTAAAACGTATTTGTGCGAATGTAAGAAGTGCGCAAGTAGATCAGAATACTGCGAAAGTACTGCTCAACCGCTAACTTCGTCCGCGAGTTCCGATTGCTCTTGTAATTGACGAGACTGTGAAAGATGGACTTTCTAAGAGCCGCCCCGAGGCGTTGGCGGTAATTGCAGTTTGATCGCGCCCTTACGGCGAACTTTCACCCAGTTTGTGAGCCTTGTAATAAGTCTCAAGTTCGCCTCTCCCGGGAACTTTAACCACAGAAAGCTAAAACTTGGAAAAATTATAGAGCTGTCCCGTTCGTAGATTGTGTAATTCGAATGTTGTTATCTTGTCGCGAGAGAGAGAGACGTCTCCTCTCTCGATGGGAGGAGAAGAAAAACTAAATACGCAATTTAAAATAAATTCAACTCTCTCTTTTAATCGGTTCCAAGTTTTGCTAATTGAATCTTTGATTTCGCGAGTTTTCCTCCCACGAGCGACGATCACGTTGAAGGACGTGAAGAGCCACATCGCGCTCTTAGAGAAGATTGTTTATTAAATCACATCTCAAGGTTTAGACCTTCCGTTCTTCATTTGTCTCGTACGTACGAGTGCCGAAACGAGACAATCGCGAAGTTGTTCGCGTCGAAACTTCGGGTCGCCAACTTAGATTTAACTGCGAGTTCCACCCAAAGGATTAATGTGGCGCCGTCGTAATTACATGAAGAACGGGGCGCGATGTGGGTCGGGATCACCTTGTACCGCGAAACACAGGTCGAATTAATCTTCTTCGCTCGCCCCGGGGCCCGAACTTCACGCACGACTCGCGCGTCGTGTTCCTTTGACGCGCCTCCTCTGTCGAGCCGACTCTTTTAATTGGATATCGATCAGACCGCATCGTCGATATGGCTTTTGTATACATATAGTCTATTAAGATCCCTCCGCGAATGTTCGATAATGGAGAGACGTCGTTTTTTTTTTTTTTTTTTTTTTCGCGAATATTGCCTCCTTTTCCGAGATACAATGTTGTGACACGCATTCGATCTTTTTTTTTTCTTTTACCCAATGTATCTTCTTGTCATCGAGCAAATGAGTTTATTGTAAACCCATTACACGTGTCACGGCGGAAATATATTCATTAATAGAACAATATGCAAAAGTGACACCGATTGTGAACTTTTCGCAAAAAGGTCTCTTCCTATATTCTCCTGTCAATTACATTTGACATTAAACAAAAATGTCAATTAAGCAAGTTGATTGACTCTCTTTTCGGCAAATCCATTCGAAGGAAGACTATCGCGGCGGTTTGTTGAATTCCCGTGCCTTCTGATTTCCGATCGTATCAGCGTCTCGGCGCGAGAGACCTGGCGGTCGGCTTTTACGAACTTTTCGATCCCGCGAGACCGGTTCGCCGCATGTATCTACGATTTTCGAAAGTTATCTTACGATACGTCCAGTGTGTATAATTGACGAACTGCACGTTGCCTCACTCTTCTTCTCGTATCAATGCAAAAGACGTCAGTTGCACGTCAAATATCTTGACGTTTTTCGCGTCTTCTCTAAACGCAATGTGCGCTGAATTTCCACGTGTGTGTATTTTATTATCTTATAACCATTCTCCAACTGACATTGACGTTACATGTGTTTGCCATATTAAATTTAATGCAAATTAAATTTCTTATAATATAATTGTTCCTCTATTTGTCTTGTAATATAATTCCTATAAATTCTATATGTATATATATTCTACATGTATGTATAAATAATACATATAATCGTATTAGAATAATACATATACATTATACATATATGTAAATAATTTAAGAAATTTAATTTATACCGACGACTCTTAAAGCGAGAGAGATGACAATTTGAAATAATAATATTCCATATCTCGCGCGCGTAATAATTGAAATATGCAGCGAAGTTTATTTTATTCGCGAAACCGCGTTTATTTATTTTACATTTCGCTCCCGGTTTATTCCCCCGTTTTCAAGTTGAGTCATGATTCCTCCGGTTTTTTACATCACAATATTCACTCTCGCGTAAAATTTTCTTAGGTTTTTTCTTATCCTCGTCTGTGTATTTTTACACTGCGATTATTCTTGTCGGTGAGTTATTTATTTAGTTTTTTTTCTTTTTTTAACTGCATATTAGATCAAAGTATCTCAGCGAAATGAAAACATTCTGTTCTTTGACAGCGGACAATCTACCGATCGGTTTCCCGATGATCACTCAGGCGCCAACGACGAAGGTGGTTGAGATGGGCCACAACGCGGTTCTTCTTTGCACGGCGGTCGGATCCCCGACGCCCATCATTTCCTGGGTGCGAGATAATCTGCCTATCGACACGTCAAATCCACGATACACGGTTCTGGAATCCGGTAAGTAACCAGCCAGCTGTCAATTACCGCGCGCGCGCGCGCGTTATGTTACCTACATCGTCGCCGAGAGATCTTCGAGTCGCGAAACGACGGCGAAGCTCGAACGCAATTCGTAACGCGAAAAAGCATTACCGACGCCGAAATAAACACCACGTTATCTCGACCAAAGTTTTACACACACTTTGTAAAAAGACGAGAGTAGGCCGATAAGAGGGAACGGAGATGATAATGATGAAGTCGCGCGAGCAAGAGGGCGCGGGAAGAGAAATATGAGGTACGTGAGCGCGATCGAACGATGACAAAAGCCATGAAAGATAGAACGATTAAGGGTGTTTGGCGGATACACAGACAGGTAACAATGGGACGGGCCCCCCACGGACGTCGGTGGCGCGTGTCATATCTCGTTGAGTGCTCCGGGTGCGTAAGTCACTGTCAACTCGCGGCGGCGTTGATCGAGTGGTCACGCGATACGCGAACATCCAGCACATCCATCTTGTTTGCCGAGAGCGCGCACCTGGCCCCCGTCGCAGTGTCGGGTACTCGCGCGCGCACTTCGTGCCCGATCATACGCGCGCGCTCATAAACGGACTGTCGTAAAGCGCGTTTCTCGCAACACCCTCGCGCCTCGTCGCATATGCGCTTTAACGATCCGGCTTAGCGCGATCCGTACACATTCTGGGTGCGATTACTAATCGGTCTCTCGATCTTGGACGACCGGCGATAATGCGTTTGACGAACCCTCCGCATTTCGTCGGAGGATTATACCTCTCCGTGTTATATCGCGCAATTCTCGCTCAGAGAGAGAGAGAGAGAGAGAGAGAAACGTTCGAGTGGTTGTTATATCTCTCGATGATAACATCTCGTTTCGAGTTGCACTTTGCGCGACACGACGACTCTGCGAGCGATAATACGGTCAATAATCAAGCGTATGTGAAACGAGGATGAGAGTCGATTTTACATCGTCGCGCTACACGTATCCTCGTTGTTTTAAAATTCAGGGAGAGTTCGAGGAACGTTGCGTGTCCGATCAAAGCGTCGCTGTGACTACTGTGTATGTCGTCGCGCTTGACGTGTGCGCGCGCTACTAGTTCAGAGATCCATCGGATGGACATTACATTAGGCCGCGGATCTAGCTAGGGAACACGCGTTAAAATGTTATACGGAATCTCTCTCTTTGTGCGAGCGGAAATCTCGTGACAACTTGAGCAAATGTACGTTCGCGCGTCTCGACGAGAAATCTCGGTTGCAACAATCTGCATCCAATTGTTCTATTTTGTAATATAAAAAAAAAACAAACAAACGCGCGCGCGCGTATCGCGCACGGCTGTGAGTACTGCGGCGTTTATTTTTCAACGCTAGAAACAAATGGCTTCGTTTCGTAATCCGCTCATACGCGAGAGAGAAAGAGAGAGAGAGAGAGATAAAAGATAACATGCACCTCACGTCGTATCAATGAAACGTGAATTATTACAACCGCTTTTCACAGAAGTTTCAATCGCACGTCTATCCTCCTTATTGCGCTCTCGTAAATCGAATCGAGAAAATATTCTCGGCGTACACGAGGCGCGCATCCCCTCGTTGTTAAGCGGGGAAACTTCTCGTGAAATGTATTAATAATATACCGCCCTTCTGCCCCTCCTCCCCGTTTTCCAGAAGAGATGGGGGGGGGCGCGACAAGAGAGAGAGAGCGAACGAATAATTTTCAGGGCGCACTGCGGAGTTTTGTTAAAGCGCGCGATGCATTTCTCCCTCCCCTCCCCCCCCCCATTATCATTATCTTTGCCGCTTTGCTACAAGGGCTCGCGCACCCCTTCCTCTCTTCCTCGCGCGCGCATACATATGAGAACGTACACTGTGTGTATGTGTAGCGCTCACTTTGTTTTTATCACGCGGCGGCGGCGGCGGCGGTGGCGGTATCATTATCGAGCGGCACGTCACGTAATACCGGCGTTGCACTTCCACGGACTATCTTTACGGTGCCCGGCGCAGTTTGCCGCGACGTGAAAAGTGTACATTAGATGCCGTCGCGTCTCCCCTGGCGCGTGTGTGTGCAACACGCACGACACACGCGGAGCTTGTGCGCGCGCCCGCCATGTATTATGGATACGTTTGCATACTCCATCGGCGCATCCGTATGCATCGAGGCCGTGTACGAAACTACGCGACCGATACCTCGCCGACGGGAGGGGGTGAGGGGGAGAGAGAAGGTTATATATATGGCAATTTTGCTAGAAATTGCCGTAAAGAAACCCACCGGCGGAAACTCGTTCTCGACGGGTGCGAGAGAGATGCATCCGACCGCGTCGTCGTCGAAACTCGATCCGCCGCCGCCGCCGATTCCCTCTCGTAAAGCAGCCGATCCGATCGACGCGAAAATCGCGCGAATATAATCGCGGCGCGATCCACGGAATGAGAGAATTCGAGGATCTTCCGAGTTCCGTTCTCGTTTCCACGATCGATAGCCGCACGATAATGAAGTACGCCGGGCATTTATGTAAATTCGTTCGGCACCCGACGGAGAAAGAGAGAGAGAGAGAGAGAGGCGGCACCCGTTACGCGGCTATTATTATTGTAATTAGATGGGAGGAATATTCGCGCGTACTTTTATTATAGTTTTCGCCACACCGCGAAGCCGAGGGTTTGCCTATTAAACGTGTAGTTACGATTCGAGTACGTACCGTTCTCTAACGATAGTAACACTAATGACGTTAAATTCATTTGGAGACAAGGGCGGATAAGTTTTCTCTCGAATTTTCATTAAAACCGACTAGCGCGTCCGACCAGCTATTCGAAAGTAGCGGCGATAGAATAATTTTCAATTAAATAGGGATCAAAAAACACAACGCGATTGTCTTCATTTCGCAGCGAAGTAATTATTTTCACGTACCTACCTATCTACGTTGCAGCCGCAATATGAATTCGTCATCGCGCGACTGTCTCCGCGAGACATGTATCAGTATTCGGGTATTGAATATCGTGTGACTCTCTGTCTCTTTCTCCTCTCGCCGTCTCCGGAAATTACATTCGCCAATACGCTATTCGTCATCGCGCGACTTCTTGTCGAATGGAAATACTAACGGCGCCATTGTCGGTCGTAAGGTCGAGTTAAGTGTAATTTAACGGAGAGAAAGAGAGAGAGAGAGAGAGAGGGGTTGATAACCTCAGCGCGAGAGGTTAAGTCCCCGGGAGTCACATCAGTCATCTGTTCCGCGCCCTTATTCGCGTCTTCGCTCTCTCTAATGTCGATAGCATCCCCCATGTTTCCGCCGCCATCGCGTTATACGCACGTCCCATAAAATATACGACTTAATGTATCGCAAAAAGTGCATCACAAGTCGATATACTTTCTGCGTACCCTGGCGCGCCAAGTTTTCCTCGCGAAGGAATATGGATGGACGGAGAAACAAGGGAGAAACGCGCTGGAAAGAAAGGTTGTGACGGGGGGGGGGATGGGGGAGGGAGGAAGAAGAGGAAAGAAATGGGAGATTTTTAACAGCGCCGACCGCGCGGTGCGAAACGAGAGTTTTCATAAATTCCATCCCGCGCGCGCGCGCGCTGACAAGCATGTTTCTCGTAAATCTTGCCTGTCTCTGAACTCGTCAAACGAGAGAACGAGAGAGCGAGTTCGCTCGAAAATCCGACGCGCCCATCGTTGTGTCTATTGCGCGAAATTGTTAACACGCTTTGCGGAACGTCGCGCGTTTAGTTTCCGGGGAATTCTCGGTGACTGACGACGCATTCTTGACAACGTCGTTTTTTTCTTTTTTTTTCTTTTTTTTTTTTTCATCGTTCACCACCCTCTTGTATCGCAACGGAGGGAGGAAGCTGAAAACCACCGCAAACGGGACTAAAAACAACATGCGCTCTATCGACGTGTTCGACGCGGTTTTTTTTCCCCCCTCCCGATATAAAATTTGAACTTTTCGATGCACCAATTTCTGCGAAAGTCCGTCGCGTTTGTTCTGACTGCAAAAAACCAAGAAGTATTATTGTCACAAAGCGCGGCGCGTCGCGTCGCGCGCAACAAAAAACCGCAGTGCGGCCGAATGTGCGCGAAAGGGAGTAGTGCGCGAGAGAACATTTTTTTATTAAATTATCGCGAATTACGTTTTTAATTCCGTCCGGAAATTGATAAATTTCGCACAACAATGGTGTTTGCGCAGCGCGTGTGGCGAATTCTCGCCGGAAGAAAGACGCGCATCAGACGGAATATTAAAGATATTTCGCACAAAGGCCGAACGAAGGAAGGGAGGGACGGGGTGTTTTTTTTTTTTTCTCTCTTTCACGCCGGGGTATTCTCATCAACTCTCGCAACAGTTAAATATAGAATTATGGGAAAATTGCGCGTGCATACGTATTATTCAAATCTTCGCGGATTAAATTCGCCAGAGACGCGTTGCGCGCCTCGCCCCTCGCGCATTGTCGGCGAGAATTAAGCCAGTGTTACAATTTTAACTCGTTGCGCGCGCGCGCGCGAGGCCCCGGGCACACACACTCCGCCCCGGTTGTGTGCCATTGTTTGCGTTAATTTACGGGAATAGCTATATCCGCGATGTACATTAACGATATCAAAGCGTCGCCGTCCTCGTTTGTTACACAGAAACGGTCTCGAAACTGCAAAACTCATTCTCTTTGCATTTTCACCGCGCCCAATTTAATCCTCGCGTCGCCCGTACCGCGCTTTAAAGAATCACAAAACGTCTTGAGAATTGTAAAATCCACCGTGTGCTCAAATTATTCTCTTCTTCACTTCAATCAAAGACAGGAAGAGAAACGGTCGAGTTTACTTTTGCGCGACAAATTTTTGTCCTGTTACCGAGTAATTTAACGTGAAAAAAAAAAAAAAAAAAACATTGTTTTACGTCAAGATTTGGTAGAGGGGTAAGAATCTTTCAGAAGAACTCGCGCGAGTGAAGTTGAGGCACAGCCGAGCGTCGATAGGTCGGTTTTCTACGACCGGAAAATAACCTTAGAGACCGGCGCGCGCGATAAATTTAATT